AAGGAAGGAAGGAAGGAAAGAAAGATGGAAAGCAGATATAATTTAGGTAGTGAGGCCAATTTCTCATATGCGATTCAATGTGCATTTGCCCACAAAAAAATGGATGCAATCATGTTGGTATGGGTTGATGTATATTGGAAAAAGAATGTGCAAATGATGGTAATGATTTTCGATACTGCTTAGGAAGTCACTACTCCTAGATCAGTATTTACACATGGTAGTTTTCAGTAAAGGGGCACTTAATAAAAATTTCTTTTCCAGATTTGGATATTGTGAGTTTTAGAGGTTAAAACACAGTTTTCTTCGGTCTTGGGAAACCAATAGTCATAATTAGGCATATTGATATGCCTAAGAAGCTTTCATACTGGAAAAGGAACTTGAAACATTAGAAACAGATATACTTCTAAAATTAATGGTATGTATTAAATATGGGGCATGTCTGGCCAGGAGTAGGGTGCAATAAGGCCCTTTACCATATTACCTTACTTTCATTAGTTATTAAAGAAAACGGATGCACAAAGAATCATGCAACATTTGTTCCTCCAAATGCATCATTAGATTGTTTAGTAGGATGTTGATTGTCACACTTCGGCACTTTTCTCCTTGATTGAAGTCACCAGTTTCCAAATGTCAATATTCTAGGAATCTTTAATTTATTGGCACTTTTCATTCTCAACAATATTTTTTGTAAGTCTTCAGTGAGGTCTGGAATAGAACTCCAATGCCAAACACTAGCCCATTCAGCTTATTTGGCAGATTTTCATTCTAAAGATCTGAATATTCAAGCGCCAAACAATACAAGAAAAGGGTAAAGCTACGAGTAAGAAACGAGGTCTGAATAAAGCTGTAAACAAAAAGAATGACAAAAGGCTTGTAGCCTTTTAATGATAAAAAGAGATAAAGATATCTAAGAGGGGTATGTAGTATTAACAAAAAAGAAAGCTGGGCGTAATCCTGTGCTCCTGTAGTCCCAGCTACTTAGAAGACTGAGGTGGGAAGATCGCTTGAGCCTAGGAGTTCCAGGCTATAGTGTGCTCTGATCACACCTGTGAATATCCACTGCACACCACCCTGGACAACGTATTGAGATCCTGTTTCAAATAAATAAATAGGGTTCTGCAATTCTATATGTCGATATTCAAATCCCAATCTGATACTTCTTAGCTGTATGCTGTTGGGTATATTATTTCTAAGGATCAATTTCCTTATCTAGTGATAAACCATTTGTTTGATGAAGTTGTAGTAATGATTAATGGATTTATCTAGAGAAAGTAGGGCTTGCTTACAGTAAGCATTTATTAAATATTTCCAGTTATTATAAAATAGTGTGACAGAATATATCTGAATTCTTAGACAATACATGCTTGTTTACTATATAGCAATAAAGCTTACAGCTTTGTGCAAAAGTAAAAAGCAACCCATGAGACCCATTTCTGCCTGCAAAGAACTTACAGTCTTATAAAAGGTGAATCCATTTATATGATGCAATTTGTTTTCAAGTCAAACTGACTATTCAAATTTAGGCTCTAATAAATACTTGTGGGTGACTTTGGACAAGTTATATTTCCTCTCTGAGCCTCGCATTCCTCATTGGCAAAATGAGGATAACAATAACGTCCACCTCATAAGGTAGTTAGATGGGGATGAAATGAGATAATGTATAAAAAGCATTTAGTAGTCTGTCTGGCACATCGTTATTATCATATATTATAATTATTTGTCTTTCATTCAAAGAATAACTCATCACGGACTCAGTAACTTGGGTTCCTTGATTTTTAAATATAATATTAAAATTTCTTTTTATATAGTTTCTTTTGAAAGATATACAAGACTCTGGAAAGAGTTATAGAATTTTACTGAGTACATAAAAGAAGTCCTAAATAAATAGAAAAGCATATAATTTTCATGGTTGAGAAGACAATATTGAAACAGCAATACCTTTTATTTATTTATTTATTTTTTAAGACAAGGTCTTGCTCTGTCACTCAGGCTGAAGTGCAGTGATGCCATCATAGCTCTCTGCAGCCTCAATCTCCTAGGCTCGAGCGATCCTTCTACCTCAGCCTCCAGAGCAGCTGGGACTACAGGCACATGCCAACAGCCAATTTTTTTTTTTTTTTTGGTAGAGACTAGGTCTCACTTGGCTGCCCAGGCTGGTTTCAAACTCCTGGCTTCAAGTAATCCTCCTGCTTTTACCTTTCAAAGTGCTGGCATTGCAGGTGTGAGCTGCTGCACCCGGCCAATTCCTTTTTAATGAATCTATAATTCAATACGATTCCAACTAAAGTTACAATAGGGTTTGCTACTGAAATTAACAAGGTGATCCTTAAATTCTTATGGAAGGATAAGTGGTCTTTTAAAGTTTTTATTTATTCCTATTAATTTAAGTTTTCATAATTAAAAATTTAAAAATTACCACTACCATCCCCCAAACAAAACAAAACAAAGTCCTATCCACTCTGTATCCATGTTATTAAACCCACTTCAAGATTTAGTAAAACACTCCTTGCCCCGAGGACTGTACCCTTTCACTCAGGGGGAGGACCTTTACTGAGGCCGTATAGTATAACGTAACCATCTTCCTTCCCTTCCTTTAATTCTCTATTTTTCAATGTTCAAAGAGTTTAATTGTTCACTTTTTGAAAAATCCTTTCATTTAGGATTAGGGTATCAGTTTAATCTTGCTACCCAAACTTGTTTTCTGAACATCAATCTCTCTTTACTTTCCATCACAAGATGTATTTCACAATGGTGAAATATGATTACATTTGGTACTTTTTTGCTTATGGGTTTCAGTGCAGAAGTTTAAATCCCAAGAGAGGCCAGAAAAGATACATACAAAGAAACACATCTGGATATGAAAACAGAAGAAGTACCTTTACAATTTTAGCCAATTTGCTCTATCACATGCAAATAAAATCTACCTTTAAGGTAAGTTAATTCAGCAGCACTGTTGATGCTCAGTAAATCAGCTCCTTGATTCTGACATGAAACATAAGCTTCTTTCCAAGAAAGAGCCGTCTGAGTATTAAATTGGTAGCAACTTCCAAACTGCTCGTTCTTTTCCCAATTATCTTCACAACCGTTTTCTGTTGATAAAGACACGTTAGTGATCATAAAGTAAGGACATAATGTTTTCCATTACTTAGGATGCTTACAAATACTGCAAGTCAATTTGCATACTCTTAGGATATGCCCAAATGGAGACTGCCATCACGCGTTTAGACCATATTTTGATCACAATACAATTGGAATCATAACATACCAAATGACTCAGGCTGGTTGAAGCTTCCACTCTTTCTTATTTTCCGCTCTCCTTTTATCCCTATCAATTACAATGCTGTGTTTTCGCCCATGTCCCTGCCTGCCCTCTGCCTGAGATGAGTCTCAGTGTGCACATGTTGTGAACACTGAGCTAATGGAAAACAAGCTCATTTAAACATAGTGGCAGACTACAGAGGGTCTGCCCACAGCTTGCATAGAAACCACCGTATGTGTACGTGTGTGCACAGACATGCTGCTTAAATGGCCAAGATATTGAGCCCAAGTGACTGCCTTATTTGGGAAACTATGTCCAAATTTCTCCTTAATATTTTAATAAAGAATCGAATATATATAATTCACATTACATATGATTTATATATGTATATGTGTGTATGTATGTGCATATAAACACGTATACATATGTGTTTGTAAAGTATACATAATTTCAAAGAAACTGCAAGCTGTTTCCTGAATGAGATAAAAAAGTTTTTTGACAACTGGTTCAAAATATATTCAGAGCCTTCTGTGTACACCCCACAAGAGGGGAAGTCCAGTGCAGGCTGTGTCAAGTGCATCCCAGGCTCCAACTGGGGGATTTTCCAAAAGGCCTCCTATAGCCAGTTACATATCAGATGTTATACTCATGATCCTACAAGCTGGAAGGGCCTTTAGAGATCATCTTGTCTAATGTCCTCATTTCACACACACGAACAAAGATCTAGAAGTGACTGTGGCAGAGCTATAATGAGGGCACTGGTCTTGTTGATCCTCTGAATGGCACATCCTGCTGCTTTAGCCATTTTTCTATGGCATAAATAGCAACAGAGATTCTGACATTTGGTAAAAACAAAATAGGGTGGATTTGAAAGCACATTGTCTAAAGGTTCATTATTACCACTGAGGCCCTACTTTTGTAAATCCAGAAGCTTCCAGGAGTGGGATGGCCGTGTGTTCACTATACAACATGACCTCCATGATTTAGCAGCCCTCAGGTTTGAGAAACTCAGTCTTGCTTCTTCCATAAAAAGTAACTCTAGGAAGCATATGCATGCATTAACAACACTGTATGTGTCACACCCCCAAACCCCCAGCACACACACAACACCCACAGGAGGCTAAAGGCACCAAGACACATCCCTGTCAAGGCAGCAAGGTACAGTGGGGGTAAGTATGTATAGTGGGGAAGGAGGATAAGGAATCCTTCACTAGTTTCCACAAAAATGTGGTCTGATCCTGACAGACCATTTCATGGATCTGGGCCTGCTGCCTCTCACCTGAGAAACAGGGTTTTGCACTGGATAACCTCTAAGCAACCTTTCACATCTAAATTTCTGATCCAAATAAGGAGAGTTAAATGAAGTTGATACCTGGTTGACCAAACTCTGCTTATTATCAATTACGGCTGAAGAAAATACTGGCTTTTTCTATTTTAGTAGGTAGGTTACAGGTGTTGAGAAGCTTGAGCCTCTAACTAGATACATAATCCTCAAAGACTGGTCCCCAGACCAGCATTATCAGCACTACCTGGAAACTTGCCAAATTTGGTGGTGCCACCAAAAATCTACTGAATCAGAATCTCTGGGCTCTAGATACCTGTGTTCTAACAAACTCTGCACGTAATTCTGTTGCACCCTGAAATCTGAAGTCTTAACCCAGTATAATCTCTTCAACTTGCTTAGAACGCTGCATGCTGAAGCTCAGATTCCCAAAGGAGGGATCAGCATTACTAATACCACCTGGCTGGCTGCTCAATTAGTCAGTAGAGTGTAGCTGTTTGGGACAAAGACTTCATAGCCAAGCTTCCTGGGTTTGAATCCTAGTTCTGATATTTATTAGCTATGTGATCTTAGGCAAGTTACATATCTCCCTTGTGCCTCACTGTGATCATCTGTAAAATGGGAATAAAGTATGGTACCTTTCAGGGTTGCTGGGGGATTAAATGAGTTAATGTATATTGAGAGCCTGAAACAGTATCTGACACCTGGCAGAGCCCTGTTAAGTATTAACTATTATTACTTAGGTCTGGAGCTCTTTCCTTTCTCTTTGCTATAGATTCTTTCAATCTATTGTCTATTAAGTAATATTTTGTGAGTACCTATCACATGTCAGGTACCATGATCCCCTGTAACTCTCACCTAATTGGTAAGAAACTGTTTCTGTTATGTGCCAGACAATGACGTAATTGCTACTTTGGTCTCTGTCTTTCTAAAGAACAGCAAATTCTTTAGCAACTCTCAGTTTGCTTCTGGTAAGAAGTAATGAGACAAAGCACTCTGACAAACACACAGGAATGGTGGAAGGACAGTGTTACCAATTCTGAGAGCCCCAGGAAGATCTATCTCTTCTCTTTCCTGCTCTTTGCTTCAGGCCATAAACATGCTTAATACTTCACCATTCTAAAAGTGTTTTTCAACTGATCTCTTTCTTAAACTACCCTTTGCATTTTTAAATAAAAATTACAGGAGGTCACTGTTTTGGACTAAGCTCCTGATCTAGGACTCAAAAATCAAAACGGGGTCACCCATGCCAAAGTTCCACTCACCAAACTGAAACAGAGTTGTTATCCGGCCTTTTGAGAAATCAAGAGAGAGAGAGAACTGCCTAATTTCCCAAACAGGCCAGTTTCAATCTTTAATTGGCCTAATTAAAATGAAGTTCCCTCTGTTTTAATGCTTAACCTGAAGTCACCTGATGTTAACCAATGGATTATTTCTCTATTGTTCTTACAAGAAAAGTTACTTTGAAACGACCAATCCACTCTTTGGTTTTTGTCTTTGCTTTCTTCAGCCCTTTTTCTGTCTACAAAGCCAATCCTCTCTGTTCAACGAACTGGAACACTTACAGTACTCTTTTATGAAATGAGGTGTTGCCTGATTCTAGAATTGCAATAAAGCCAAATGAGATTGTGACTACATAAATTTGTTGCAATTTTGTCCTTTGCCAACTGTCTCTTCTGCTCCGTGAAACTTGCGAGGCTTACTTCCTTCTGTTCATGCTTCATTCCACTACAACCCAGCTTCTACCCCCTCTAGTCTTCTGAAACTACTAAAGGTCAGCAGCAATTTCCTAACTGTGCATGCCTTTTCCACACTTCCTCTCCCTGAGGTGTCTGTGCTATGGAACACTCCCTCCTCCTCCTCCATGACACCATCCGCCTTGGTTCACTTCCAGGCCTGCTTCTGAAGGCAAATTCATGGCTACACATTACCTCTCTCTTCTCCTCCAAACATACACTCCTTATCCAGGATGATATTTTTGCAGTCACTTTTGAGTCGCTTTGAACTCTTCCTTCTCCCTGTTGCCTCATATAAATGTACTGCCTTTCCATATAAAGTTTACCAGCCCATACATACCAGGCTTCAAGCAGATGCCCCACTTTCGGTCATATTCATAATTTAAGGTGGTGGCACACCATGGCCCACTATGATCCTCATCAAGGATGCAATCATGATGCCAGGTCCCATCAACTAAGAATGGAAATTCACAAGGTCTCCCGTAGGAGTTCCCATCTCTGGTATAGATCTCTGGGTTGGAGAGGAAGTTGGGGAAAAGAGAGTTAAAAACTGGGTAGTCAAAACAAAACAAAACAAAACCAAAACAAAACAAAACAAAACTGGGTAGTCAGCTTCAGTTGGCTCATTTCTAAAACTCTTAGAAAAACAAACATTGTTGTTTAGAATACAATATCCGAATGTAGGAATTTGGAGCATGGGTGCTGTCAGGTCTGCACATGAATGCCGGCTCCCTGCTGACCCACTGTTTGCCTGTGGGCTAGCTATCCAACCCTCTAGTAGCCTCTGTTTCTGCTTTTGCAAATTGGGGATAGCATTCAGTGATCATCCATGTGAAGCTTCACTTACTGTGGTGTGATGAGGAGCTGAAAGAGCCTGGCTTGGTCAGGTGAGGGTCTATTAACTCTGCTGTGGGCCGCAGAGCACTTCACCAGAAAGGGTGCCCTGGCTGAGGTTACATTTACCTTTATTTTCTTTTCTTTAGAAAGTGTTGGAGCCAGAAAAATACCTTGGAACCACTAAGGGTGGGTGTGGACTTTGACCCACCTGCGGAATTAGAAAGATGGACAAATAGTCCCATTGTTCAGAGACTGGAAGTAGAATTGAGACTGTGGTTTATAAGCAAGTAAAAGGAAGAGCTGCTGAATTTCTGAGTAGATTCTTGGGGAGGCACAGGGCATGGTGATTTGGGGTGTGAAAGAAGCAGCAACTTCAATGGGGCAGTCATGTGACTGGCTGGTGGCCAGTGAGGTAGTAGATTTGGCTTTTATTTTAATCATTTTCCCTGGTACATGGGGAGGAACTGAAAAGTGATTCCAACCTCAAATATGCCTGGAAATGCTGGAAAGAGTGTTTGATACTTATATCAATACTAATTCTCTTGGAAAGGTGTTTTTGTAGAACGGCTAACTCTGTATCTCTTTCTGCCACAATTTTCCAAATCCTCAATTTGCTAAAAAACTCAGTCATTAACAGATCAAATAATGGTCATTAGATAAATCATAGTAATCAAATCTTATCACCCTTTACCAGGCAATTAGGGTTCCCCAAAATGTCTCACAGATGTGCTTAAAAGTGTGCTTAAGACAGTATTTGATTCTACTTTCTTTTTCTCAAGTATCTGTCTAACTAAAGTGTGAGGCCATTTAACAGCTTAGAATGTATTAAGCAGAACTATAGCAAAAGGTAGTAATAATCTGGATGCTTTTCTTCACAAATAGTCTTTTAAAGATCACTGGCTTTATTTTGCTATGTCATATAAATAGTTTCAAAAGGGTACTTCTGTTAAAGAGTATGTTGACCTTACATTTTATAAGGATTCTGCTTATTACCTATGTTTCAGTTTAACTGCATCAAAAACCCCCCAATAGCTCATGACCAATTTCTCTTCCCATATTACAAACCTAAGAGGACAGTCCCTGAACACAAGGACTGTTCCTTGTAGAACCATCAGTTTTCTTTTCTAAAACCTTTGATTTTTGGAATACAAAGTGCCTTGGTATACACTTCTGCCATTTGTTCTTTATCATAAACCTGTGAGATCATAGGGGAAGTATTATATTTGTCTGGGAAATCCCCATTTTTGCAGAGTAGTCAAGTGAGACATTCAGGCACTCAGCCGCAAGTGACAGGGATGAAAATGGGCTCTCTCTGATTGGACTCTTGACCTATAAGGACAACTTGTGACATCAGTGGGTGCCTTCTCAAGTTTCAAGTTAAATTTCATAGCTCAAAGCTGGGCTTCAATTAATAAGCTCTCTAAGTCACAATACATGCTTTGAAGAATGATAAGCATACAACCACCACACCAGAAGCAGCTACATTGCGCTAACTGTTCACTAAGCATTTTGCTCCCACACATTCTTTGCTGATGCTGGACCTCTTACATGCCATGGGCTTCCTTAGCAAGACAGGCTTTCCTGGGAAGACTCTTCTCTGAATGTGCAAATTTATGGTGATAGCATCCTTAAAACAACAGCTTTATTATGCAATAGGTACAAATTTGTGAGATGAGGTGATTATGCAGAAAACTAGCAAATTAATGTCATCAGTAACATGAGACAAAATAGTTTCAATGGATAAAGGGGTTGTTGACAGGCTTCTAAGAGTTGCCCAGAATTCTGATAGTTCTGCAGCCACCCTACCACAAAAAGTCCATTTCCTCTTCATGATTCACCAAACATTCAAAATTTGAAAAGTCCTAGTGAGATCAAGGTATCTTAATGCTATAAATGTACACCTGGGTGCTAGGTAAAAGCAGTTCACTCATAAAATTTATACAATTTCAGTTTTCTCTGAGATGAACATGACTCACACAGGATGGGAGTTGGGCTGAGAGGCAACCCAAGGCACAGTGATAAATTAATGTTCTTGTATCACAAGTGAAAACTTTGTTTATACTGCTAAAGCCAAGGGGGAAAGAAAGAAGCTGTTTGGGGGAAAGGAATACTGGTTTTGAGCCCTAGCTTTGCTGTAACAAGCTAGGTAACCTTGGATTTCACTTTGTTGGGACTCAGTTGTCTTGTATGTTTTGTTTATATACTGCTAGATAAGAAGGTGGGGACAACAATCAGTATTGAGAGTCTGAGTAAAGGAGTCCTAGAGAAGGTCCCTAACTTAAGACAACAGTCCCTAACCTAAGAACAGAAGGGATATACATAAATTGAAAAGGGTAGAATTGCCAGGACTTCATGTTTGATTATACTGGAGTGGTGGAAGAGGCAAGCCTGAAACCTCTCGGGTGACTTGCTAATTTCTGACATGTAGAACTTAGATGGTACCAGTCACCCAGACAGAAACAGAGAAGAGGTGGCAGGTTTGGCCTTGGCTTCTGTGCAAATTAAAACTTGAGGTATGCCTTGACTAGTCACAACTATGTATGCTTTTAAAAAAAAGATTTAGTGTTTCAAATATTATATTTGAAAAAGTCAAGAAACATTTCATGCCTGTGGGCTATGCTGGTGGCATTGCTTAGCTCTCTCTGGGTGGTCCCCTGGGTAGGTCCTTAACCTTTTTTGTGCTACTGATCTCTTTGGCAGCTGGGTGAAATCCATAGTCCCCGTCTTAGAAGAACATTAGAAATGCATAAATACAACACATAGGATAAAAAGGAAAATCAGTTATATTGAAATGAAGACACTCTGGGAACTGAGGGAGTTTAAGATTACAACTATGCCCCTCAAAAGAATTAGATCAGGAGGCTAAAAGAACACTGCCAAGAAAATTATCCTTTCTGATCCCTGGACAAATACAATGAAACAAGTTAAATCCAATTAAAAGGCATTTTTTTTTTTTTTTTTGGCTCTGTGTTTCCTCTTAGTTGGCAAGTTGGAGAAGGGCTTTTGTGGCACAGAATTTAAATTTGCCATTAAGTCATATCCAGAAAGCAACTGCTTTACTTTTAGGAGGAAACTGGCTCGCAGAAACAGACTGTCGGGATTGATGAAAAGGAAAACCCCATCTCTAATTCTCTAATATTTCTCCATAACAGAACTTGACATTCTCAGAATAATTTCTGCATCCTCACTAGGAAATAGAAAGACTAGAAAGAAAAACTTGTGTGGATGGATAAAGGATAGCGAAGCTGCTATCCTGCCTTTGAGGTCAAATTTAGCTTCAATGATCTTTAAGAGAAGAAGAAAGTCACCATAAAGCTAGGGAAATTTTTAAAGAAAGGCAAGGAGAAATAATAGGACTTAGAGGACATAATTATATGCATATTGACATCTGGTGTAATTTAGAGCAACACAATGAAAAATATTTGCTTGGGAGATAGCTAATTACATTTAGTGGTTAAAAAAATAAATCTACTCATTCTTTAACTTGGAAATTAGTTGTAGTCCAGTGCCTAGACTCAGAGCTAAGTCCATGGTCAGCTCCCCACAAGGCAATATTAATATACTTATTTTTGGAAGCAACTGAAAAACTCCACTCTTAAAATGCTGAATCATAAATATAAACATCAAAATTTGGTTGCTATGCCAAAAATGAAAATAAATAGGAAAATCCACTCAAAATTTTCCCATTTTATCAAAATCCGTAGGCAAGAAAAAATACATTTTTCCCCCTTCTCCTTCTTTTCTTTTTTAAGAGATGGGGGTCTCACTATGTTGCCCAGGCTGAAGTGTAGTGGCTATTCACAGGTGTGATCATTACACGCTACAGCCTTGAACTCCTGTGTGCTGAAGTGATCCTGCTGTCTCAGTCTCTCGAGAAGCTGGGACTGCAAGCATGCACCACTACACCTGGCCTTTCTTCTTCTTTTAAAACTTAGAATAAGATCAACATTAGATCATTTGACTTTTAGCCTGTAAAAAGATTTCCTGTTAATCAAATGTTTCCTTTCCTCTAGGCTTTAGAAGACCATCATAAGAACTACATATCTATCTGATGAAATCCCAGGTTTATCACAACATGGCTGTGTGACCTCAGACAAGGCATTTAACCTCTCTCAGCCTTACCTGCAAAGTAGAGGCAAATATGCACTCGTAAGAATGTCGCTCAAAGTAACTGCACAGTGCCTGGAACTGAAGAGCTCACTCACTGCCCTTACGAATGTATGACTCTATTTTTACTAAATTGTGCACATTCAATATCACATGTGACAAGCACAACAGCAAATCGGTCAAAGTCCCTCTCTACTACTCACCGTGATAAGGCTGGTCACAAAGGCTTTCCTCTGAGCCTCCTTTCTTCCAGATATCAGATGCATTTGAGATTGCTGCGCCATGCCCATTCTTCAGAGCCAGCTGGTACCGGGCAGCACTGTACAGAGAGTGGTGCTCACATTTCCACCACAGCATGACACTGGAGTCACAGCTGAACATTCTTACCTCATTCACCGATTTGGTAATATTTAGGCCAAGGCACTTTTGGGAGTGCAAATGAAAGAGCCGATGCTGGGACACCCACTTCCATAACTTGTCCTCAGTTTCATCACAGTCCTCTGCTACTATCCAGCCATACACTGGCTTGATGCACTTGCCCGTATTTCCATGGACGATGGTGAAAGGGTCATTAGCTGAGTCAAATGGATAGACAGATTGTGGATTATGTGGTTGAAGTGCCTTGCTCCCTACTTGCTGAGGAGAGTCTGAGCACTACTGGACTGTTCCCATCCTCAGACTGTTCCCACTCTTTATAAGCTGCAGGGGACTACACAAGGTGGGACAGTGGTGAGCAGAGAGGCAGTGCAGTCTGTAGGGTCAGAGCACGGGTTCTGGAGCCAGTCCGCCTGAGTCCATATTTTGCTCCTGCTACTTATTAGCCATACGATCAGGGCAAATCATTTAACCTGTGTGCTCCAGTTTTCCTATGATGGGTGTGAGCATGAAAGGAGCTAATCCATGTAAAGCATGTAGAGCAGCATGTATATTTGTTGTTGCTATTTCATGAAAGATATTTCCCTTCTCATTTAATGAGATAAAAGAAGCTCTTTAGTTTTCATCTCAATGAAAAGTCTAGTTGGGACCATAATTCTGCCTTGCTTACATGTTAGCTACTATGACAGGGTAAATTATTACATGAAAAGTCAATGCTTAACACAGCATGTTCACTATATATATGTTCCTTTCTTCAGATCTAAGTACATAGTGAGGCCTCTGTGGTCCTCTGCCTTAGGGCAAGTTAGTGTGGCCACTAAAAAGGAAAATTTAAGGACAAATTTCTTAAAGACCACTTCCCCCTAGATATTTTTTTGGAGGACTAAATTCATTGAGGTATGTCAGAGGAAACGGGGAAACTTCTGGGGGAGCAGCAGAACAATGGCAGTACAGAAACAAGAAGAAATAGAGATCTGGGTTCTGAGGGTAGGGGAACCTGTGGCCAGCTGCATTGTGGCACCCTCAGGAAGGTGACAGGACCTGGGGAAAGCCTGGGGGATTGACTGTGTGGATCACCTAAGAAGGCTGAACCCCAAACTCCAGGAACTACCAGAGTGATGGCTGATGAGTCTTGAGCCACCAGATTCAAGATCCTGTGGGTTTGGACAAGGGGAAACCCAGAGGTAACCAGCGGGATCCAATGACTAAAGAAGAATCTTCCCTGAATGTTCCCCTGGCACTCTGCATGAGCTGGGAAAGACCCCAATAACGACAATTATTGAAGTTCTGGCAACCTGATGGAATGGGAGCTCAGCACCAAATGTAATTTGGTTTTCTGAAAAGAAAGTAATGCATTGTTTCTTGCACACCTGAATTTGTGGAATAAGATTCACATCTGTTACAACAAACTATAATCGGATAATTTGGTTAGTTCTTTTACAAAGGAAAATTTTAAACAATTATAGCAGAGATCATCATGTTGATAAGAGTAAAGCTGAAATATTTTAGACAAGCTTAAGCAATCACTGTCAATGAACCAGAGTTCAGCAGAAAGACCTATAAAATTTTGGTTCCCCAAAGACACTTTCATTTTGATACCAGCGTCACAGTCACTGGTTTCACTAACACCAGATGCTTTTCCTAGTAATAATTCAAAGGCTTTCAGAGTTAAAAATTCCCATACCAGGGACTGGTGACTTGAGGGGAATTTTACCATGTAAATAATAACTATAAAATTAAGTCTGACTGCAGCTTGAACTTTGGAAGGATTTTTTGTTTTGTTTTGTTTTCAATAACAGAAGCAACAACAAAGGAAACAACAAGAACAGCAACAAAAATCCTTTAAAGCTTAAAGTTATTTTAAATCTGAATTTTAAAAGTATTCCACAGGGTTGCAGCTAAGGATGTTTGATGTTTGCCATAGCAGCTTTCCTCCCTCACATTTTTTTTTTTTTTGAGATGGAGTCTTGGTCTGTTGCCCAGGCTGGAGTGCAGTGGCACAATCTCAGCCCACTGCAATCTCTGCCTCCCAGGTTCAAGTGATTCTTGTGCCCCAGCCTCCCGAGTAGCTGAGATTACAGGTGCCTGCCATCACACCCGGGTAATTTTTGTATTTTTAGTAGAAATAGGGTTTTACCATGTTGGCCAAGCTGGTCTCGAACTCCTGACCTCAGGTGATCCACCCACCTCGGCCTCCCAAAGTGCTGGGATTACAGGCATGAGCTACTGTGCCCGGCCACATCCCTCACACTTTCTCCTTTGACAGTCCTCTGCCACTTTCTGCTTGATGGACACAGGCTGGGAGGACAGTCAACAAAAGAAAATGTACTATAAGATTACTACTTACACTTTCTCTCATGGCCTTCTCCCACAATTCAATAGCTACTCAGACCTCTGATCTACATCTTTTCTAAACTGTTCTCTCTTGCCTCTCCAAAATAAATCTTGCATTCCAAAGTATCAAAAATTACAGAAGAAAAAAGAAGTCTGCTCCTGCAGGAGACGTGCCCATCACCCTTGTTGGAAACATCCCCTCTCCTGCCCTGTAGTCTTGCTGCTGTCTTTCCCGGGCATTCTGCTTTGTGCGTTCAATCCCAAACAGGTGAACTGGGGAAGCAGCAGCTTTGCCTTCCTTTGCAGTTTGCAATTCTGCATTTTTCAAAGTTTTTGTAGAATCCAATGGATTAGCTACATTTCTTTGTACAGTGGAAAAAGCAGGAGTTAGGAGTCCTAGATTGAAATACTAAAACACTGCAGGAGAGGTGTGGAGTAGCTCTGTTAAAGTGGAGCTGCCAAACTTCCTAACAAACTGCTACATCTCTGAATATAGACGTTTTTCTCAGACTAACCCCTTGTTTGAACCAAGCATGCAATTTCAATGTTTGACACTTATAGTGGTCACTTAGTACAGATCTTAATTATTCATATACTTAAAGGAAACTTATTAGCCTCCATATATAAGGTACGTATATGCATATATTAGATAGGGAGAGTCCTATCCTTTCATGATGCTTCCCTGTATCTTTCTTTACCTTTAGCAGGAGCTGTTCAAACTGCCTCAGTCTTACGACCCTTATTGGGATAGTAGGTTGAAGAGCCGGAAGGAGGACTGAGAAAGAGTGAACATAATCCCTTATTTAGAAAATTTGGTATAGAAGGGCATACAAGCTATTTTAGAAATATATTATACTTTGAAAAGGTAATTACAGAGTAGATTTTATTTTATAAAACTTATTTTATAAAATAGATTCTTTACAGATAGCTTCCTATTAGATTTTGTTCACTTTACAACTTTATACCAGTCCTCAATGGAGTTTTAGTATTTACCTCCAAATACAACATTGGGGCAAATCTAAAAGGCAGAATTTGATGAAAAGAAGCCTCATTACCCTCTAGATACATTTGTATATGCTTCATTTGATATAAATTCTCCAGTGTTTGAGAGAAAATGGCTAAGTAGCATTACCAAAAATTGAAAATAAATTTTTAGTATTTTTACATCCATCAAAGGAAAATCATCTCTCTCAGTGTTTTCTTATTGTCTGATCACTAAATAATTCCTGCCTTATAAACTCTAGACCAAATAGCTTCACGCATTCCAAAGAGGAGCTGGATATTGACATAATAGCCATAGACAAATGGATAGGGAAATAGCTTGGGAAAACAAGAAGGATTAAGATGGCAGCATTTATAATTTCAGGGGAACATCCATAGATCACATATTAAGCATTTTGTAGAGTCTCTACCATGTGTTCAGAATGTACAGGTAAGCGCAGCAAGACAGAATCAGAAGTCTAGGTTTGTTAGTTCAAAAGCAGGTCCTGAAATGACAGCAGGTCCACGGCAATGTCCAGAGAGTCAGAAAGTCTTCACGCATGATTGGGTGGTGTTGGTTGGTGAAAACCTCAGGAGTCCCTGACGGATTGGTTTACTTCAAGCTGTTAGTTCTCCAAGCAGCAAAAATGTAAACTAAGCACCTGGCATCTCCCCAAGGACACAGAGGTGCTCCTTCAGTGTTTGGGTGATAGAGGCCACCTGCACAAGCCTAGCCATGCACGTGACGAGGTGCATGCCATCACCAGCATCATGAAGCGGACACTCTTGCCAAACAATTGACCCAAATGGCTGGGGGTTCAAAATTCCAGTGCTTCCCCAAACAACGCCACAAGTCTGCTCTGAGGGTGAGAGAACATCGATCAGAGTAGCTGCTAGGAGTAAGGAAGGATACAGGATAACAAAACCTGTGGAGACCTAGCACAGGGCGAATAGAGTTAAACCTGGTGCTTTTTGCTTTGGGTCAGTGATAAAGGGCAGTGATTGCAGAGATTGCAAGAATTAAGGAAACCTTGAAATTTGTGAAGGAGATAAAAACAGGACTGAAGCAGATGTAGATGGGAACCAAGAGGTTAGTGATTGAAAAGTTAGTGCATTTTCACTGTAGTTAGTTGTTGCAGTGAACTTTTCCACTTTGGATTGTGGGGCAGGCAGAATAAATTCTCAAGGCAATAAAGGATCTTATTTTAAATGATTCCTTTGGTAGTTCCTAGCACACAGGGTCAAAGGAGAATAGAAAAGTGTGACTCAGAGCAGGGTTCATTTACAGGTCCTTGCTGTAGATAGGATGATGGCACTCACACTCTGAGAAATCTCTTCCCATCACTCTCCGAAGGAAGTCTAAACCAGATGGTAACTTAGCTTAGCTGCAAAGAAAATAAGAGCCACCAGCAATTTAGTGTTTTTCAAACTGCCTGGACAGTCTTTTCCTTCCTCATACAGGCACGATAACAGAAGTGGCCGGTGGCGGGTGGCCCATTGAGTGCCTATGATGCGGCCCAACCAAGAAACAAAGTCCTCTGCACACCTCTCGCCCAGGCAAAAAGAGAAAGTAAAAGCAACCGGTTGCTGCCAAGGGGTGTGGTGGGGTGGCGCTGGCACTACCCTGAACATCAGTGAAGGCTGTTTCTGGTCCTGCTTCCCCATTGAGAGGCAGCAGGTCCCCAGCCAGGCGACCTGCCCTTCAGCGTGGGGCTGTCAGCCTTGGGGGAGCGGGGTCGTTTGGAACTGATAAACCAAAGAGAAGAAAGGTTTGCTGCTCTAGACAGTGGGTGACGGCATCATAGCTGACTCTTGGTCTTGGTCACTTTCAGAGGAGATGGTTTACTTAACCTGACTGCCTTTCTGATGCGCACCGTAGGCGCAGTGAAATCCGGGAATCGTTGGGAATCCTTAGCACTGTGGGTGGAGGCTCCTCTTGGCCCTGTGGCCAAGGTGACCAAGGGGCGAAGGAAAAGCGAGAACGGGCGGGACAGGACGCAGAGGGCAGATGGGGAACCCCATACTCCAGCAACATTTTATAAGACGGACGACGGAGCAGGGCACCTGGTCAAAAAAGCCTCAGTGAGCCTACTCTACGGTGGACCGCGTCCCCTCTGCACCAGAAGGGCCTGTCCTCCCACATCCACCGCGCCCTCCTCCGGGTCCCCGAGGGCACTGAGGCGCCTACTCCGCCAGACCTCTCCTGCGGCTCACTAGTCCGGCTCCAGAGACCCCCAACAGCAAAGCAGCCGTGACCTGCGCCGGGGGCGCAGCCCTGCTCCTGGCTGGAAGGCGGCAGAGCTGCGGCGTCGAGGCACCCAGTGGACTGCGGGGCGGACGCGCCCGCGGTTACCTGCGCGGCCAGAGGGTTCCGCGAGCTCGAAGCACCAGAGGAGTAGCATGAGGAGCCCCGCCGGGCGGCGAGGGCTCGCCCAGTCTGTCCTCATCCTGAGCAGGCGCAAGCTTTCCGGCCGGGTCCTCGGGCGCACGCGGCACCCGCCCCTCCTGCTGAGCTCGGCCTGCCCCGCCCGCTCCTATTTCAGGCCTCTCGGGGCGCCCCGGCCCCGCCCCCGCCGACCCCGACCAATCAGACGTGCGTCTCCTCGGCCCCGGGGCGTAGCGGGCCGGGTGTGTGCAATGAACAGGGCGGGGCGCTAGATACCTACGTGGGGTGGGACCCGCGAGGAAGAGGGACGTGCGGGTCGATGGGAAAGCCGGGTCCTCGGGCGCACGCGGCACCCGCCCCTCCTGCTGAGCTCGGCCTGCCCCGCCCGCTCCTATTTCAGGCCTCTCGGGGCGCCCCGGCCCCGCCCCCGCCGACCCCGACCAATCAGACGTGCGTCTCCTCGGCCCCGGGGCGTAGCGGGCCGGGTGTGTGCAATGAACAGGGCGGGGCGCTAGATACCTACGTGGGGTGGGACCCGCGAGGAAGAGGGACGTGCGGGTCGATGGGAAAGCCAGGCACCGCACAGGCTCCTGCACTGGACAGTTTGGTCCCCGCCTCTTCATCAGCCAAGCTGGGGAGATGCGGCCCTTACTGGGACTTGGCACCGCCCTGGTGGGTGGGTTCTGTCAGTTTAGAACCTTGGGCTCTGCCTAGCTCACTGTGGTCAGGGACGACTTCTCCATTCCAGCCTGGACTGGAAAGAGACCCACGGTGTCTCCTGCCCCGGAGAAGGAAGTGAGCACCTGCCGCGTGGGTGACTGCGGCCAAACCTAAGAATTCAGTCGTCCTTGGCAACGTCTTGGGGATTTTGATAGTGCAAATGGTACACTGCAGTTCTACCCATAGTTGTTGAAGAATTAAAAGCAAGAATTACTAGAGTGACCAAACGACACTTCCAAGGATGACTTACGCTTTATAACAATTTGAGCTTTGCGAGTAAGCTCTTTGCGTAATAATTTAATGATAATAATAATTAGCTGGTAGAAATGTAGAAGTCTGCACGCAGAACCAGAAATTTCATGTCCCACTCACTCTCTTCCTGTGGACACTGCTATCATTAAAAAGAGACCAAATTCTTAATGACCTAAGTTGCTCAAAAGTGAATGCTTTATACTTTTAAATCCGTCTTTGCTGAACACATAATGTGTACTTGAGGTGGCCTCTATCCTTGTTGCATGAGGACGCAAAGACCTAGTTGCTCTTCCTGACTTCCGCTGCTGAGGCTTCACAGACGGCTCCCAAACCTGCCTTGACTCTGTCCTCTCCCCAGGGTCTGGCCTTTCAGTTCCGTAGATATAGTGAGCACCTACCATCCCAGGATCTGGGCACTCCATGGAACAGGAGGACAAAAAGACATCTCTGCCCTCCCTTTAATACTGGGGAGACTGGGGCACTGTGATGGATAATATTGTCAGCTTGATTGGATTGAAGGATGCAAAGTATTGTTCCTGGGTGTGTCTGTGAGGGTGTTGCCAAGGAGATTAACGGCGGACTGGGAGAGGCAGACTGGCCCTCAATCTGGGTGGGCACCATCTAATCGGCTGACAGCATGGCTAGAATAAAAGCAGGCAGAAGCTGGAAGGACTTGACTGGCTGAGTCTCCTGGCCTTCATCTCCTCATCTTCATCTAGATGCTTCCTACCCTTGAACATCGGACTCCAGGTTCTTCAGCTTTTGGACTCTTAGACCTATAAAAGTGGTTTATCAGGGGACCGCTGGCCTTCGGCCACAGACTGAAGGCTGTACTGCTGGCTTCCCTACTTCTGAGGTTGTGGGACTCTGACTGACTTCTTTGTTCCTCAGCTTGCAGACAGCCTATTGTGGGACTTCACCTTGTGATCGTATGAGTCAATACTCCTTAATAAACTCCCTTTCATATATACATGTATCCTATTAGTCCTGTCCCTCTAGAGAACCCTAATACAGGCACATGCAGTGACACAGGGCAGAATGAATGCGGAGACTCTGACAAAGTTTGAAGGAAGGCAACATCTTAGCTGGGTCTTAAAGAATGGGTAGGAATTTCAGCAGGCACAGCTGGTGGGAGAAAACTAGTGACAGGGCAGAGACTAGAAAATGCAAGCAGAGTCAGAAGACAGTCAAGAGTCCAGGGTAGCTGCCCTGCAGGGTGTGTGTCTTTGAGAGCGATCAAAGTGGTTGTGGTGGGGGCCCCAGTGGAAATGACAGCAGAAAGGTGAGTTGTGTCTGTTTTGTGAAGGGCCTTGACTTTGTTCTAAGGAACACATGGTGGGAATTTCTGAGTAGGAGAACCTGCCACTGATCTGATCCCCTCTGCCTCTGTGGCTGCCTGCCTTTCTTTCTGATCCTGCCCAGCTTGGAGATCCTTGAGGGCAGTGGTCTTGCCGTATTCATTATCACATCCTCAACACTGGGCACAGGGCCTGTCCCAAAGTAAGCTCTCAATAAATGTTAGTTTAATCAAGGAATGGATTCCTAGGGCCGCCACCTTAGCCTAGGGCCGTATGAGCTCCTACTTGCATTATATTGCAATAATTTCTCAATTGACCTTACTGCCAACAGTTATTATCCTCTCTGGCAAATGAATCCTTCTAAACACTGTTTGGAACATGCCACTTTTCTACTCAAATCCTTTCAGTGCTATTTGCATATAGCAGGAGTTCCTAAATGCTACTTAAGGGGAATTATGAAACCCTGAAATTTTATGCAGCTTTATAAAGGCACTGTTTTTTGAGGAGGAGGAAGAAGGGTACAAGGCTTTCATGAGAATCCCAGAGAAGCCCACGGTACAAAAAGAAAACTCTAAGACAAAAAGCAAGTACCTCTATAATCTGAACCTTTCTCTTTTTTTGAGACGGAGTTTCACTCTTGTTGCCCGGGCTGGAGTGCAATGGCGCAATCTCAGCTCACCGCAACCTCCACCTCCTGGGTTCAAGTGATTCTCCTGCCTCAGCCTCCCAAGTAGCTGGGATTATGGGCATGTGCCACCACAGCCAGATTAATTTTGTATTTTTGGTAGAGACGGGGTTTGTCCATGTTGGTCAGGCTGGTCTTGAACTCGTTACCTCAGGTGATTCGCCCGCCTCAGCCTCCCAGAGTGCTGGGATTACAGTTGTGAACCACTGTGCCTGGCCTAATCTGACCCTTTCTCTTTACTGCCTTCATATGTCACTTTGGTTCAAGCTACCTGTCTGAACCTATCTTGCCTTTTCTTATCTCTGCCCATATATGCATATCCAGAATGCCATTTTCCCTGTACTTAGTTCCAACCTTTCTTGAAGTTTCTGTTTAGATCTGACATTTTATGTAAAACACTTCTATCAAGGGGTTAACCCTCTTCCAAAAATCTACATAATAGTGTGCATTCTGTTCACTTGGCATTTAACATGTATTACCTCTCGCCACGATTTTTTCTTCAGGGACGTGCGCTGATTATTTCACCTAGGTTATAGATTCTCAGTAAATATTGTCAATGGTGACAATAAAAAGCAATGTGTCCTTCAGGTCTCACCTTGGATGTTACTTTCTCAAAGAAATCTTTTTTTTGTTTCTTTTTTACTCTATGGTCTAGGTGAGCTTCCTCTATAACAGGTTCTCCAGGCTTTCCACACTTCTTCCTGATAGCACTTAGCACAGCTGGAGTAGATCATTCTGTGCTTGCTCATTTGTTTAATGTGTATCTCCCTCACCAGGCTGCAGGCTCCATGAAGACAGTGACTATGCCTGCTTCATTCACTTCTGTGTCCCTAATACCTGGCACATGATTTGCTACATGAATGAATAAGTAAATATATAGTAATGCCTCATAAATGATGTAGGCAATGGAAGGTCTAGACATTTAAAAGAGGGGAAAATTGGCTTGGGTGGGAGCAGCAGTTATCAGGCACTGAACTGGATGTCCTTGGATGAGAAGCATTCAGTAGATAGAGGCAATGAGGATGCTACAAGCTGAGACAATGGTGTAAACAAATTACAAACATCTGCCACCCACTGGGAGCCAGGCCATGTGCTAAGCATTTCCCATGTACTCTCTTGTTTAGGAATCATCCTACAAAGTAAGTATTCCTATAATCCTCATTTTATAAATGTGGAAACTAAGAGAACACAGAGAAGACTGATACCTAGACCAGGTTAATAGCCACAAGTGAAGACACTATGATGGAAATCTAACTATAGAACTTGAATGAGTGTGTGAGAGTGTTAGTAATATTTTATTCCCAATCACAATTAGGGAGGAGAGGTAAAGGAGCTTTTAGAACCTCTGAAGTCATGTTTTTTAATTATAACATAAATCATACCCAAAAAAAGAACAGCTATGCTTGTTGGCCTTTGTGATCATATTCACCTTACTCCCACATCGAGGTAACCTCTCCTCTGAATTACTCATCACTCTTTCTTTACAGTTTTCCCATGTATCATTCATTCCTTAAAGAGTACCTATAATTTTACATATTTTTGAATTTTATGTAAATGAATCATTTCAAGGGTTGGGTTTTTTTGTCACTTGTCTTTTTGCTCTCAATTCTGTCTGTGACATTCTTCTGTGTTGGTGTGTGTAGTTGTAGTACATTCATTTTTATGTAACATTTCATTATAAGAATAAAGGACACTTTATACATTCTCTTGTTGGGGGATGTTTGAGTAGTTTCCCGCTGGGTAGTTTTCATTTGGGTAGCTTGCTGCTCTTAATGCTCCTGTGAAGTTTTTGTACCTGTCTCTTGGTGCGCATTGCTAGAGTTTCCTGAGGATATGGTCCTAGAAGTGGAATTCCTGGAGCATAGGGTATGTGTAGCATTACAATTACTGGACAATGCCAATGTGCTTTCTGATTTACACTCCCATTGGTGTATATAAGCATTCCCACTGCTAAACATCTTCATCAACATTGGCATTGTAAAATTTTTGGTGGGGTGTAAAGTGGTATCTCCTAGTGGTTTAAAATTGCATTACCCTGATTGCTAATGAGGTTGGACATATTTTTCTCTGTGTATTGGTTATTGGTATTTCCTTTTCACATTCTTGTACAGGTTATTTGCCTGTTTTCTCGTAGATCTGTTCCCTGCCCTTTTCTGCTTT